ATAAAGCCTTAGTTCATGCCTAGGCAGCAGTGTGCGGCCCAGTAGTGCCACAGTTAGACCTTAAGCCAGCACTGGAGTGGAAAAAGAGCCCACGCTTTCAGAGCACTGAGAGGGAGCATGGCTAGAGTCATGAGGAAATACAGAGGAGCCACATGGTGGAGCATGAGCCCACCTACTGGCCATTACACTTAAGTGCCATCAACTGAATAATTTGCTAATATACCCCTGTGAAAACAAGGATGAGATTTCAACAACAAATAAAACCCTGCACAAAGCCTCAGCCCTCAAAAAACATTCAGAAAAAGAGTCAACTGATTGCACTCAATTACACCACAGTTAAAAGAGCATCAGTCCACATAGATGAGAAAGTATTAGTACAAGAATTCTGACAACTAAAGAAGCCACTGTTTTCTTTCCTCCAAATAACTGCAATAGTTCCCAAGGAAGGGTTGTTAACTGGTCTGAAATGGTTGAAATAACAGAGAAAGAATTCAAAATATGGGCAGGAACAAAGATCATCAAAATTCAGGAGAAAGTCAAAACCCAATCCAAGAAATCTAACAATTACAATAAAATGATACAGGAACTGAAAGACAAAATTGCCAATATAAGAAAGAAACAAACTGATCTGATAGAGCTAAAAAAACACACTAAAGAATTCCTCAATATAATTACAAGTATTAACAGCAGAATAGACCAAGCTGAAGAAAGAACCTCGGAGCTCAAAGGCTACATCTCTGACCCAAATCAGACAAAAATAAGAATAAAAAAGAATGAACAAAACCTCTGAGAAATATGGGATGATGTAGAGAACAAATCTGTGACTCATGGGCATCCCTCAAAGAGAGGAGGAGAAAGCACCAACTTGGAAAACATATTTCAGGATATCATCTATGAAGACTTCCCCAACATCACTAAAGAGGCCAACACTCACATTCAGGAAATGCAGAAAACCCTTGTGAGATTCTACACAAGAAGACCATCCACAAGACACATGGCCATCAGATTCTTCAAGGTCAAAACAAAATAAAAAATGTTACAGAAAGCTAGAGAGAAGAGGCAGGTCACCTAAAAAGGCACCTCATTAGGCTAACAGAAGATCTTTCAGCAGAAACCCTACAAGCCAGAAGAGATTAGGAGTCTGGATTCAGCATTATTAAGGAAAGAAAAATTCAACCAAGACTCTCATATTTAGCCAAACTAAGCTTCATTAGTGAAGGAGAAATGAGATCCCAATCAGACAAGCAAATGCTAAGGGAATTAATTACCACCATAAATGCCTTATAAGGGATCCTGAAGCAAGTGCCAAATATGGAAAGGAAAGACTTTACTGGCCACTGCAAAAGAACACTAAATACATAAGAGTATTGACACTATAAAACCAACCACACAAAGCTGCGTAATAACCAGCTAACAGCATAATGACAGGGTCAAATCAACAAATACCAATATTAACCTTGAAAGTAAAGGGAATAAGTGACCCAATGAAAAGCCACAGAGTGGCAAGTTGACTAAAGAGCAAGACACTGGCCAGGCAGGTGGCTCATGCTTGCAATCCCAGCATTTTGGGAGGTTGATGCAGGTGAATCAGGAGTTCGAGACCACCCTGGACAATATGGTGAAACCCTGTCTCTACTAAAAATACAAAATTTACCCCTGAACATGGTGGTGCTCATCTATAGTCTCAGCTACTAAGGAAGCTGAGATGGGAGGATCACTTAAAACCAGGAGGCAGAGGTTGCAGTGAGCTAAGATCATGCCATTGCACTCTAGCCTGAAAAAATAAATAAATAAATAAGTAAAAGCAATACTCAATTGTATGCTCTCTTCAAGAGACCCATCTCACAAGCATCCATAGCTCAAAGTAAAGGGATGAAGAAAAATCTACCAAGCCAATGGAAAACAGAAAAGAGCCAGGAGTTGATAGTCAAAACAGACTTTAAACCAACAATTATCAAAAAAGACAAAGGAAGATATTACATAATAGTAAAGGGTTCAATACAACAAAAAGACATTACTATTTTAAATATATATGCTGTCAACATAGGAGAATCCAGATTCATAAAGCAAGTTCTTAGAGACCAATGAAGACACTTAGATAACTAGACAATAATAGTGATAGACTTCAACACCCCACTGACAGTATTACACAGATCATTGAGGCAGAAAACTCACAAAAATATCCAGGACCCAAACTCAACATTGACCAAATGGAGCCAATAGACATCTGCAGAGCTTTCCACCAAACACCACCAGAATATATATTCTACTCATCTGTACATAGCACACACTGTAAAATAGAAAACACAATTAGCTATAAAACAATCTTCAGGAAATTAAAAACAAGCAAACAAAACAAAATCATACAAATCACACTCTCAGACCACAGCACAATCAAAATAGAAATCATTACTTAACCCTCAAAACCATAAAATTACATGGAAATTTAAAAAAAAACATGCTTTTGAATGACCTTCGGATAAACAATAAAATCAAAGCAGAAATCAAGAAATTTTTGAAACTAAGAAGGATAAAGTTACAACATACTAGAATCTCTGAGACATAGCAAAAGCAGTGTTAAGAGGGATATTTATAGTGCTAAATGCCACACCAAAAAGTTAGAAGACCTCCAATTAACAATTTTACAGCACATGTAGCAGAACTAGAGAAACAAGAGCAAGCAACGTCAAAGCTAGTAGAAGACAAGGAGTAATGAAAACCAAAGTTGAATGGAAGGATACTGAGAAGAAAAAAACTATGCAAAAGAGTAAAAAATCTAGGAATTGATCCTTTGAAAAAATAGATTAAATAGATAAACTATCACTCAGAATAATAAAGAAAAAAGGGAGAAGATACAAATAAACAAAATCAGAAATGACAAAGGGAACATTACCACTAACCCTACAGAATACAAAAAACCCTTCAGAGACTACTATGAGAACCTCAATGCACACCAGATAGAAACCTAGAAGAAATTGATACATCCCTGAAAACATACAACCTCCCAAGGTTGTACTAAGAAGAAATTAAAACTATGAACAGACCAATAATGAGTTCTGAAATTAAATCAGTAATAAAAAGCCTACCAACCAGAAAAAGCCCAGGACCAGATGGATTCACAGCTGAATTCTACCAGACATATTAAGAAAACCTGGTATAATCTCTACTGAGACTATTCCAAAACATTGAGGAGGAGGAATTCCTCTCTAATTCATTCTATGAGCCCAGCATTCTTCTGATACCAAAACTTGGCAGACAATCAACAAATAAAACTACAAGCAAATATTTTTGATGAACAAAGATGTAAAACTCCTCAACAAAAATGTTAGCAAACTGAATCCAGAATCTAAATGACCACAATCTTTTAGGCTTTATTCTTGGGATGCAAGGTTGGTTCGATACAGGCAAATCAATCAATATAATTCATTACATAAACAAAATTAGAAACAAAAATCACATGATCATCTCAATAGATACATAAAAGGCTTTTGATAAAATTCAACATCCTTCATGTTAAAAAGTCTCAACAAAATAAGCATCGAAGGCACAAACTCAAATAAGAGCCACTTATGAAAAATTCACAACCAACATCATCCTGAATGGGCAAAAGCTGGAAGCATTCCCCTTGAAAACAGAAACAAGACAAGAATGACCTCTCTCATTATTTTTATTAAACTTACTACTGGAAGTCCTAAGCAGTATAATTGGCCAAAAGAAAAGAAAAAAGGGCATCCAAATAGGATGATAGCAAGTCAAATGATCCCCTTTTGCAGAAAATATGATTCTATACCTAGCAAACCATATAGTCCCTGCCCAAAGCCCCCTTTATTTAAAAAACAACTTCAGCAAGGTTTCAGGATTCAAAATTAGTGTATAAAAATAAGTAGCATTCCTATATAGCAACAATAACCAAGTTAGAGCCAAATCAAGAACACAATCACATTCACAATAGCCATAAAAAGTATAAAATACCCAGGAATACAGCTAACCAGGGAGGTGAAAGATGTTTATAACAAGAATTAAAATCACTGCTCAAAGAAATCAGAGATGATGCAAACAAATGGAAAACCCCCCATGCTTATAGATAAGAAGAATTAATATTGCTAAAATGGCCATAAGGTCCAGAGCAATTTACAGACTCAATGCTATTCTTACAAAATTCCCATTTTTCAAAGAACTAGGAAAAAACTATTTTAAAATTAATATGGAACCAAAAAAAAAGCTCAAATAGTAAAGGCAATAATAAGCAAAAAGAAAAAAGCTGGAGGCATCCCATTACCAAACTTTAAACTATTCAACAAGGCTACAGTAACAAAACAGCATGGGTTTCATACCAAAACAGAGATGTAGATCAATGGAACAGAAGAGAGAGCTCAGATGTAATACCCCATGACTACAATCATTTAGATTACCTTGACAAAGTTGACAAAAACAAGCAATAGAAAAAGTAGTCCCTATTCAATAATTGGTGTGGGGTAACTGACTAGCCATATTAAGAATATTGAAACTGGACTCCTTTCTTACACCATATACAAAAATCAATTCAAGATGGATTGAAGACTTAAATGTAAAACATGAAACTATTAAAATGCTGCAAAATAATCTAGGAAATGCCATTCTGGACATAGACCCTAGCAAAGATTTCATGACAAAGGTGCAAAAAGCAATTGCAAAAGCAACAACAAAAAATGGACACATGAGACCAAATTAAAGAGTTTCAGCACAGCCAAATAAACTATCGACAGCATTATATGGTTTGACTCTGTGTCCCAACCTAATTCTCATGTCAAATTATAGTTTTCTCAGTGTTGGAGGAGGGGCCTGGTGGGAAATGATTGACTCATAGGGGCAAACTTTCCCCTTGCTGTTCTCATGACAGTGAGTTCTTATGAGATCTGGTAGTTTAAAAGTCTGTGGCACTTACCCGTTCACTCTCTTCTTCCTGCTTTTGCCATGTAAGATGTATCTTCTTCCTCTTCACCTTCCACCATGATTGTAAGTTTCCTGAGACCGCCCCAGCCATGTTTCCTGTTCAGCCTGCAGAACTGTAAATCAATTAAACCTCTTTTCTTTATAAACTCAGTCTCAGGTAGTTCTTTATAGCAATGCAAGAATAGACAAATACATAGAATAAACACACAACCTACAGAATGGTGGAAAATATTTGCAAACTGTGCATTCAAAAAGGGTGTAATATCCAGAATCTATAAGAAACAAATGAACAAGCAAAAAACAACCCCATTAAAGAGTGGGCAAGGACACTATTCAAAAGAAGACATACGTGTGGCCAACAAACATATAAAAAATTATTAACACCACTAATCATTAGAGAAATGCAAATCAAAACCATACTGAGATACCATCTCACACCTGTCAGAAGGACTATTATTAAAATGTCAAAAAATAACAGATGCTTCCAAGCTTGTGGAGAAAAGGGAGCACTTACACACTGCTGCTGGGAACGTAAATTAGCCATTACAGAAAGCAATTTGGAGATCCCTCAAAGAACTTAACACAGAATTACCATCTGATTCAAGAATTCCATTACCAAGTATATACCAAAAGGAATATAAATCATTCCACCATGGTTTATGCACATTTATGCATATGTTCATGGCAGCACTAATCACTATAGCAAAGACATGGAATCAATCTACATGACCATCAGTAGTACACTGGATAAAGAAAAAGTGGAAAATACACACCATGGAATACTATGCAGTTATAAAAAAAGAAAGAACTCATCTTTTTTTCAGAAACATGTATGCTGCAGGAGACCTGCTTATCCTAAGAAAACTAATGTGGAAACAGAAAACAAAATGCTACATGTTCTCATTTATAAGTCAGAGCTAACCATTGAGAACACATGGACACAAAGAAGAGAATGTTAGACACCAAGGCCTACTTGAGTGAGGAGAGTGGGAGGAGGGAGAGGATTGAAAATCTGCCTGTTGGGTACTATGCTTATTACGTGGGTGACAAAATAATCTGTACCTCAAACCTCATGACATGCTAGTTACCTATACAACAAATCTGTTCTTGTACCCTTGAACCTAAAATAAGATTTTAAAATAATCATGAAAGTAGGTAACTAAAGCTTAGAGAAAAAGTATAAAGGATCTCAAGAGATGATCCAGTTAATAGAATTGAAATTAAAAGTCTTCAAAATAACTCTGCTTATATATTAATGAAATTTAAAAGAATATTAAATAATCTTAATAAAAACAAGATTAAATAATTCAATAAAAATGATATTAAATAATCTAATAATAGTCAAATTTAAAATCAAAATTAAAAATTTTAATAATACTAAAAATTAGATAGAATGAAGAATTAGTGAACCCAAGGACAGGTCAATAAAAATTTTACATATTGAAGCAGAGAAGAAAACAATTTTAAAAAGAAAGAGATATTTGGAACATAATAAAATAGTTTGAATTATAGTTATTGCTCAGAAAAAGAGAAGAACATGGAATAGGAACAATATTTGATAAAGTATCTGAAAATTTTCAAATCAGATAAAATTATCAATTCACATTTATAAAGCACACTAAAACCCATTTGGACAAATATAAAGATGATCACATCTGGATATGTCCTACTCAAATTGCCAAATATCAAAGACAAAGGGAAATATTTTAAAGCAGTTAGAAAAAAGTCATTGTATCTTCAAAGGAAAATCAAGACTAATGTTTAAATTTTTGTCAAAAACTATAGAAGCTGAAAGATAAGAGAATGATATCTTTAAAATATTAAAAGTAAACATAAACCCCCCAAAATCTATACTCTGTGAAAATACCCTTCAAAATAAAAAAAAACATTCATTTATTCATTTTGTCATATTCTTTTGTCATATATAGAAGCAAAAAATCATAAGCTGAAAGAATTCACAACTTGCAGATCTTCTCTAAAATGAACACTAAAGGACTAAAACAAAGGAAACACAGAGAAAGAAAGAAATAATGAAGTTGAATAAATATCAATAGAAAATTCCAAATTGAAACGCAAAGTGAAAAAATAAAATTCAGAATAAAATATAAAAAAAACTATAGGGCAATTACAAATGTCATAACATACTCATAATGAGAATACTAGAGGGAGAAGAGAGAAAATAAAAGAAAAAATAATGTATTTGCTTAAATAATGATAGAGAATGCCCCCAAATTAATAATAAATAGCAAATACAGATCCAGAAAGGTCAGATATGGCCAAGGAGGATAACCACTAAAAAACTTATACCTCACCATATCATATTCAAACTGCAGAAAATCAAAAACAGAGATACAGCTTTGAAAGAATCTAGAGAAGAACACTTTACCAACAGAAAGGATAATAATTACATCAGCTATTTTCTCAAAAAAACATGCAAGCAAGAAAAAAGAGTAAAATATTTTAAGGTGTTGAATGAAAAAAGAATTCTAAGATTCTGTGTCCCACAAAATAATCTCTAAATAATGACTTTCTGAGACAAACAAAATTTGAGGAAATTTTTAGCTAATAGATTTGCCTTGCAAGAAATATTGAAAGGAATTTTTAAGAAGGAATGAAAATGACACAAGTCAGAAATTCAGACCTGTATAAAGAGAAGAAGAGCATTAGAGAAGGAATACATACAGGTAAAAATAAAATACACTTATTCTTAAATAATTTAACAAATAACAGTTCAGTTATAATAATAGCAACATAGTATTCAGTGATTATAGCTTATAGGTAAGTGAAATATTAATCACCTCAATGTGGTAAGGGGGAAGAGGGAGGAATTGGAAATAATCTCCTATGTTTGTTCTACCCATAAAGTATTATAGTGTAATTTTGAAAAAGGACTTGAATTAGTTGTACATATATATTTCAAACTCAAGGATAACCACTTTAAAAAGTAAAAAAAAAATATATATATATATATATATATATATATATATATATATATATAATTTATATGCTGAGGGTAGAGAAGAAATGGAATCATATAAACTCATAAAATGCTCAACCAAAAGCAGAGAAGTCAGAGTGAAAGAAAAAAATAAGGGTAGCAAACAATCATAACAGATGTGACAGATATTAATACAACTGTACCAATAATTACTTTAAATATAAATTTTCTAAATACATCAATTAAAAGACAGATTGTCAGAATGAATTCAAAAGAACCCCCTATTTTATGTTATCTACAAGAAACCCTGTTTAAATAAAAACACACATACTAAAGTAAAGTTATGGAGAAATATGCATCATGCCAACACTAATAAAAAGAAAGATATTGTGGCTATATAAATTTCAGACAAAGGTAAAATACTAAGAAAAATTATCAAGGATATACAGGGGCATTACATAATGATAAAGGCATCAATTATTGAAGAACATGTAAAAATCCTTAATATGAGTGTACCTAACCAAAGAACCTCAAAATAAGTGAAGCAAAAGCTAACAGAATTGATAGAGCAAAGATAACTGATAGAGCAACTAGCTAAATCCACTATTAGCGAATAATATATCATCACCCCTCTATCAGTAATTGACAGAGCCAACAGGGAGAAAATCAGTCAGGACATAGTTGAAGTCAACAGCTCCATCAGTTAAATGGCTCTTTAGCACCTATAGAATAGTTCATGGAACAACACAAGCATACACATTCCTTTCAAGATAACGTAAAACATTCATCAAGATATTAGTATTCTGAATCATAAAACACATTTCAACAGCTTTAAAAGAATGTGCAATATATGTGCACTCAGACCATGATGGAGTTGTGAGACAATTTGAAAAGACTCCAAATGGACAAACACAGAACTAGTTAAGCATCAAAAAAACAAATACCATGCAATGAATGGAAGCACATTACATTTTTTAAATCCATTAGTTCCTAATAACACTTTAAACATTCTTATTCTCAACTTTTCTGGTTGCTAGGGAGCCAACTTATTATTCTGAACACTGATAAAGAAAAACAGTCAAGTATTTATTCTGACTCTTCTCTACTGAATAACTAATGAAGAAATTTTAAAATAGAATTCTAGCTAAACATATTCAGACATAATAATCAAATTTGAATATTATTAGTTGGGAAACCCTAATAAAACCATGAATTAAAAATTATTTTTGGTTTCTAAATCCATAAAATAAAAGGCTGATGAAGAATTTTGTAATGGACCAGGTTGTCCCCAACTGAACCAACTAATGTTAAAATTACAAAAAAGATACCATAGGACATTATATATATCCTGATGCAATGCCATAGGAAGTATACAGCACCATCTATGAATGATTCTTCACAAAAACAATCAAATCTGAATCTGGACAAGCACTTATTCTGGCTTCCAATCTGTAGGAAACATAAAAGAATGAAGGAAATTGTCAAAGATACAAGAGAGATTCAGTTAGCAGACTAGAATGTAGAAAAATATTATAAAATCAATGATTTGGCTTAACTTTACAAATGCATTAATTTAAAAAGACATAAAAACATATCAACTGAACACAAACACTGCAATTATAAAAGAGAAATTTTACAACACTGACAAGATTGTACATGATATGAAAGAATTCTTGTATCTTAGAAATGGAATACTTTCAGATTATATAATACCTTTGAGTCATTTTAAATTAATCCAATGGTGATGAAGAGAGGTTTATTGGGAGAGTAAATGAAACAAGACTGGTACATGTTGATGCATGTAACTGGAGTTCTGGCTGAGCTCTCCTGGCTGAGCTCTCCGAGCCCTCTCTGGCTGAGCTCTCCTTAAAGTAACAGATGCTTTGAGCCAACTTGATAGCAGTGCTTTCATGAAAATTACAAAGTTAGCAGACACGTGAGGGTGTGCTCACACACAATGATAAAAGTTGGCTGGCAAAGTTATATTCTAGAATTTCAACTAGAGAATGAGCTGTGGTGCCTGGAGTTCACAGCTCATTTATACACAAGAAGCTTATATAAATATATCACCCATCTTTTAGGATTCTTCTTATTTCAGAATAAAGGTAATGAAGAAATGAAAAAGATGAGCACTTACAAATTGTTTCCTGGTCAAAATAATGGTGGAATGTATGGACATCTATAGTCAACTTAAAAACAAAGTAAATATGTTTCACTTGGTCTCCCTAAGAACAAAATGAGATGAGTAAATAGCAATGTAAAACTGCGATTTCCCAAAGAAAGGCTTGCCTGTTAAAAGCTGTGGGGTTTCTACCAAATGACTGTAGAAACTACCAGAAGTGAGGGTAGGAAATAGTTTTGAACACCATTGCTCACCTTTGTCAGTCAACAGTAATGTCTTTATGATCACAAAATCTTGACATTTTAAATATTTACCAGGATTTTTTTTTGAGATAGCCTCACATCTCTCCACTTTAGTAATAAAGCTTTGTTCTTCTATTGTATTTCAAGTCCAGCTGAAGCACCAACATGAGCGAAGTGCATCACTATTTTCTTTTCGTTTTCTTTTAAGCAGTGAGGGCTCTGGGTACCAATTACTGTATTGATACAACTAGGTCATTAGTTCTATCATGATCTTTGATATATCTTGTTTTAAACAGATCCTCTAGATATCAACTCAAACATAAAAAGTATGACTCCTAAAGGAAAAAGCTATCCTTTTCAGAGACTTTATCATTGTTTCATTAGCTATCCTGCATTTCTAGTGCATCAAAAATGTAATAAAGTTTGTGAAAAAATAGGCTATTTAACATTTTAAGAAAACATGTATGACATAAAATGGGTTACATGTTTATTTGAAATGATTGTAACTCATCATACATTTCAATGATATGAAGAGAGAAGGAATGGCAGAATGGCAATCTACACAGACTCTTGAGTCCTAGTCAATGGGTTTGAAACCAGACTTCTGCCACATACTAGCAGGTTGGACAAGTCAATTTAATCCTGTTCCAATTGCCTCATCTGTAAAATGGGAGCAGTAATAAGATCTACTTAATGATCAAATGAGGTAATAACATAAAGTGCTTAGAACATGATAAGTACTCATTAATTTCTGTTACTTTTATAATCTCTGTTAATTTTAACACTGGTACTATCCATATGCTAGATAGGAGAAGTTTTTCCAAAGGACAGAAACTCAATGTATTCTAACTATGAAAAGTAAAGATTTTTTCATATCCTTAAAATGATATCACTTGCTTCTAGCATTATGCAGAGTAGAATTATTTAAAAATATGCTGAGATTTTAGATGCTTTATATAAATAAATACTAATCTTTCACAAAGTGCTTTATTTTTTCCAAATAATTTTTTAACTCCATCTAATTTTTCACTATAGCTCATATATCCTGAGAAAATATGAACACTAATATGTCACATTATTTTAAAAATTATGACACGCTAAGTAAAAAATTATAAATTATGGCAGAATAGGTACTTGATCTCAATGGCATTTTTAAATAGATGACTCAATGTATGATCACTGTTTTCCACAATTTCTTTCTTGCGTCTCAACATTTTTTATAATTCATGAAAATGTAGGATTTTTTCTACTATAAAAAAGAAGGCATGTGTATATACATATATGCTGATTTATACTTAGCCAAGGCCTTGAAAAAAAAAATCAAGGAGGCCAAATCAATCAATCAATCACACACACACACACACACACACACACACACACACACACACCCTGTATTAATAAAAAGGCGTTTGTTTGCCTTTCATTATTTCAAGAATTGCCTTAAACCTTCATTTTCCTTTCTATGCAGTTTATTTATCCAACCAAATTATTAGATCGCTAACCTTTTAATTTGCTAAGAATCTCTGGAGCTGGCTATATGTATGCATTTGACTTCAAATATTTAATTAATGAAGACAATTAGAAATACACATATAAATTGGACTTCCAGCAGTTACGTTATATTATTACCTGATTTGTAATAATATAATAGTTTTAAATAATGTAAGATACAAAATAGGCTATTTTAAAATTTCTCTTTTTCACTATTTATTAATACAATATAAAGTAATGAAAGATATGTTAAAGTATTAGCCACCTCTAATTTGTAGCAGCTTTCTAAAGTCTGGTACCAAATTCAAATTTTTGGCAGGTTTATTTATTATACATGCACACTTTTCTCACATGCACAAACATGTATTTTATGTAGTGTTTTTATGTGCTTTAACATCTCTGTGAGACTTTACTCAGATAACTATTTTAATCCAAATTTCAAATAGATTACTAAAAATCACCAATATTTAATTAACATATTATGATCTATTGAAGTAAGCAACTAAGTTGCCTCATATATCACTAAAATCCTGTGTATAGTACTTACAGGGAGCTTAACTATCCTATGCATATAATTGTATGGATTCTATGATATTTTTACCCTTAATATGCACTCTATCTTTTGACACTGCTTCCATATTTTCATATGTTAGTATCTTTATAATTGATAGATTAAATACATTTGTTGTTTATAACAGAAACTTCATAAAATTATGTTCCCTTAGAGGAAAATATGCCATATATATTCACTGCATGTTCTTGTCATCCTATCTCCTTTTCAATCAATTTTTTTTAATATCACTCTTTTCCTTCTCACCTTCTCTTCACTCCTATGGTTTACAGGTGTAATGATGTCAGCCTCAAAGCCCAGCACAGGTAGTAAGGAGAGTGGGGCAACACAGTATCCCAGTACATCATAAGGCTGGATGCTGAGGAGGAAGTTGTGCTGTAGAGGATTTGGAGGCAATGCTCTGAAGCCAAGGAAGCAGATAGGTGCATGGACAAGATGGGGCCTGTGAAGGATATGGCCAAAGAGATGCCAAAATATTTATGAGTATACATAAGTACTCACAATGTGTACTTATTGTACTTTGTACTTACATTGTTATCTGTGAATAAATGTAAGTACTCACAATGTGTATTTATTGTACTTTGTACTTATTGGAAGTACAAATACTTACTGGAAGTACAAAGTACAATAAGTAACATTAAGTAGAAAGTACAATAAGTGCACATTGTGAGTACTTATGTATACTTATTCCAATAAGTAAAAAGTAAATAAGTACTTATAATAAGTAAAAAGTACAATAAGTATATGTATTAATGGTGTGGGAATCAGGTTTATCATTGTCTGAGAACAGATTCATAATTCTGGCAAAGGAAGACAGCTGAAAAGAACCCCAATGTGTTTGACTGAAATTGTAAATATTGATATGAACTCGTGAGTTTTATTTATACATACACAGACACAAATACACGTTGATAAGTAGAAATGGTTATATATGTGTGCATTTGCCTATACATACTAGTTTTTTATTATTTGAAGTATTATGTTCTATACAATTGCTGTGAATATGGGATTAGCAGAAACTAAAACCACTGTTTTTAGAAAAAAATATATAGTTAGGTTCCTGTGAGGCTCTGGTTACACTTTTGTCAACTGATCATTACATAACCTTGTTTTAGGTGTATTTCTGCTTAAAGACACTTTATTGAATATATATTGTTATTTCATAGTCAACACAGCACTATAGCTCACACCTGAATGGACTTTGTCTAGCACATATTTTCTCTGTACATCATATCACAGGCTTCTTGTGCTTAGGAACATTAGGCAGCACTTTAGCACTACCCTGGGGTCATTTTAAACAGCAAAATCATGAAAACAGCAAGACGTGAAAAATGTAGCACTAAACAGATCACATAGAGGACACTTGTTTATAGCATGAAGATGAAAACAGGAAGGGAGAACATTTCCTTATTTTATCTCAACTGGGAACACCTTTACGGGGTGCCTCATATTTTTTGTCACTTTGAGCATGTTCATGAATAAAGCAAAAGAATCATGAGTACTGATTTTAGGGTTTCAAATAAATTTTAGCAAGTAAGTGGATTCACAAATATAAAACCCAAGAAAAATAAGAATAAAGCTGTATATCTACATATCTATCTAGTTGTACATATTTTTCAGCTCTGTCTACTGGGAGGGCATAGAAGCACTGCGCACATCTAGTTTTTGGGTATTGGTATCTAAATACCATCTTCTACTAAAATGGGCAGGCAGCCTTGCAGAAATGGCTGATTTCAAAATGGGGACAAGAAAAGTACAATATAAGCTTGCACATTGAGTCAAAAAATAAGGCATAAGGAAATGCTCAGAGTAATGGAACATGAAGAGAACACAGTAGCCAGATTGACATGGCTCTTATTGGCTAAATTTAGAATAATTTTAACATCAAAAAAACAATGAGAGTATCAGACTGAACCCAATGAATAGAAAGGAAATCTATTAGACTAAATGTTTGTGTGTACGTGTATTTACATATTATATATACACACTACTTTCACTTCACTAAGAAAAGTAGTGTGTATATACTAATTTCTTAGACAAAAAGAGAGCATCAAATGCAGGAAAAAAATGTAGGAAGAATGATATAATTAGTATTAGGCAGCCACAATAGTGGTCCCCCCTCTAGTGAATAGAGAGGGGAGTCATCAATGGATTAGTGGATTCTATGAATGGTAGGTAGATGTATGACATAGAAGAGGATATTAGCATAATATCTCAATAGTTATCCACAAAGTATGAATCATAAGTTAATTAAAATAAAATCATGGTAGAGGTTTTTATAAAAACTTAAATGTTTTTTCAATTAATATAAAGGGGCAGACTGTGATGAGGATACCTCCTTGGTGGGTGGGGCATCTCTGAAAAAATTCAGCAGCACACTAGGAACTTATAAATAAAGCCCCAACTTCCCAGGAAAGAGCACCTGGGAAAAAAGGTAGTTATGAGTTCTGCTGCAGCAGACTTAAACGTACCTGCCCAGCAGCTCTGAATGGAAAAACGTTGCTCACAGCTCAGCACTTGAGCTCCTATAAGGGACAGACTGTCTCTTCAAGCAGCTCCCTGACCCCCATATATACAAAGAGACACCTTAGAAAGGAGAGCTCAGGCTGACATCTGGTGGGTATCCCTCTGGGACAGATAACAGAAGAAGAAACTGGCAGCAACCCTTACTGTTCTGCAGCCACTGCAGGTGATCCCCAGAAAAGCAGGGCCTGGAGTGGACCTCCAGCAGTCCTACAGCAGAGAGACCTGACTGTTAGAAGGAAAACTAAGAAACAGAAAGAAATAACTTCAACATCAACATAAAGGACATCCACTCAGAGACCCCATCCGAAAGTCACCAACTACAAAGACCACAGGTACATAAATCCACAAAGATTGGAAGAAACCAGTGCAAAAAGTATGAAAACACCAAAAACCAGAACACCTCTCCTCCTTGAAGGGATCACAACTCCTGACCAGCAAGGAACACAGCTGGATGGAGAATGAGTCCGATGAATTGACAAAACAGTCTTCAGAAGGTGGGTAATAACAAACTTCTCTGAGCTAAAATAACATTTTCTAACCCAATGCAAAGAAACTAAGAAACTTGAAAAAATGTTTGATGAAATGCTAATGAGAATAAATAGCTTAGAGAAGAATATAAATGACTTCACAGAGCTCAAACACAACACGAGAAACTCACAAAGCATACACAAGTGTCAATAGCCGAACTGACCAAGCAGAAGAAACGATAAAAGATTGATGATCAACTCAATGAAATAAAATGAGAAGGCAAGATTAGAGAAAAAAGAGTGAAAAGAAATGAACAAAACATCCAAGAAATATGGGGTTATGTGAAAAGACTTAAACTACGTTTGATAGGTGTGCCTGAGAGTGATAACTAAAATAAAACCAAGTTAGGAGAGACTCCTGAGGATATTATCCAGGACAACTTCCCCAACCTAGCAAGGCAGGCCAACATTCAAATATAGGAAATACAAAGAACACCACAAAGATATTCCTCAAGAAGAGCAACCCCAAGGCACATAATCGTCAGATTCACCAGGGTTGAAATGAAGGAAAAAATGCTAAGGGCAGCGAGAAAGGTTGGGTTACCCACAAAGGGAAGCTCATCAAACTCACAGCAGATCTCTCAGCAGAAACCCACAAGCCAGAAAAGAGTGGGGGCCAATATTCAACATCCTTGAAGAAAAGAACTTTCAACCTAGAATTTCATATCCAGCCAAACTAAGCTTCATAAGCGAAGGAGAAATAAAATCCTTTATGAACAAGCAATTGCTGAGTGATTTCATCACCACCAGGCCTGTCTTACATGAGATCCTGAAAGAAGCACTAAACATAAAAAGGAAGAACCAGTACCAGTCACTCCAAAAATGTATAATATGGTAAAGACCACTGACACAATGAAGAAACTGTGTCAACTAATGGGTAAAACAACCAACTAGCGTCAAAATTTGCAATCTACCCATCTGACAGGGCTAATATCCAGAATCTACAAAGAACTAAAACAGATTTACAAGAAAAAAAAACAAACCCATCCAAAAGTGGGTGATGGATATGAACATACGCTTTTCAAAAGAAGACATATAAGAGGGCAACAAACATATGAAAAAATGCTCATCATCACTGGTTATTAGAGAAAGGCAAATGAAAACCACATTGAGATACCATCTCACGCCAGTTAGAATGGCGATCATTAAAAAATCTGGCGACAACAGATGCTGGAGAGGATGTGGAGAAATAGGAACACTTTTACACTGTTGATGGGAGTGTAAATTAGTTCAACCATTGTGGAAGACAGTGTGGTAATTCCTCCAGAACCTAGAAATAGAAATTCCATTTGACCCAGCAATCCCATTACTGGGTATATACCTAAAGGATTATAAATCTTTCTATTATAAAGACACATACACAAGTGTATGTTCATTGCAGCACTGTTCACAATAGCAAAGACCTGGAACCAACCCAAATGCCCATTGATGATAGACTGGACAAGGAAAATGTGGCACATATATACCATGGAATACTATGCAGCCATAAAAAATGATGGGTTCATGTCCTTTGTAGGGACATGGATGAATTTGGAAACTATCATTCTCAGCAAACTTACACCAGAATAGAAACTCAAACACCACTTGTTCTTACTCCTAGGTGGGTGTTGAACAATGAGAACACATGGACACAGGGAGGGGAGCATCACACCCTCGGGTCTGCTGGTGGGAATAGGAGAGGGACACTGGGGGTAGGGAGGTTAGGGAGGGATAACATGGTGAGAAATGCCAGATATAGGTGACGGAGGGATGGAGGCAGTAAACCACATTGCCATGCATGTACCTATGCAGCAATCCTGCATGATCTGCACATATACTCCAGAACCTAAAATGCAACAAAAAATATACCTGTATGGACACACACACACACACACACACACACACACACAATTCTTTGAAGTTTAACCTTATTTGGAGATGTCTCAGTGGTTATTTTATTCCATGTATTTAAATCAATATTCTTACACTAAAACATATGGAGATTTTATGTAATATTTTCATGTATTTTTGCCTCCCAACTAGGTTTAGGAACAAATTCTTCCAGGGTATTTTTCTCAATAACAATCATAATAACATGAACGAAATACTATTCTACTACCACCATTACTATTGTCAATGTTAATTCCGAATAGAAAACCATTGCTTTGTCAGCCCAGTGACCCTATTCCTGTATTGGGAAGTGCAGTTTTCATCTTTTTAGACATTCTTTATTATACCATTCCAATCCTATAGTTCTCAAGGGCTCTTCCATTTTAACATGACACCATTACACAAGCTCATTGCCCAAAGATGAGCAGCAGATCCAGGTAGGAATATCACGTAGATTTTGTGAGTGTTTTTAAAACTGAAAGGGGGTGCTTCCAAAGTAGCAAATGCTGTGAGTCAGGAAGTCTGACAGTTGTTAGTTATATGATAGTTAACATGTGGAAAACTCACACCAGAATAAGAAATTTCAAAACAATATCAAAGACATAGATGAAAGATAGAGGTAGATTCCTATAGGGTCTGAAATTCTCCCATTGATGCTAAGGTTTAGCTGCATCCTTACTCTTCCCATGATTTGATTACTTAATTCTCCCATTTACCTTGTAAGCTAATAAATTTCTTCTTTGCCAAAGCCAATGAAGTTTCTGTCATCTGCAAAAAAAAAAAAAAAAAAAAAAGAGTTTCGGTTAATGAAATTATCATCCTCTTCATTATTCTACTTATCATAAAGAGCACTACTGTCAAATATTTTTGAGGTAATAAAATAGAAACCATTTTCTTGGTTAAATTTGGGCATATAGAGAGAATAGCTATAAAATGTAGCATTTTGTAAATATTATGTAAAAACGTAAAATAATATTGTTACTTTTCACAAAGAAATAATAATTTAGAGATATTTCAAAGAAAAGAAGTAAAAATTTAATGATCTGCAAATTTAATTCCCATTGGAGTCTGAAAATTAATGAAACTATGTGAACCTGTTAAAAACAGCTTTTATTTGGCAAAGGTAAAATGTAAGATTTTTAAATAAATTCTCTCTTTGATGTATATGTGGCAGAAAGATTTATGAGGCATTATTCTACTACTTAGGGAATTTGCATTACTTTAGGGAAAGTATAAAATGTTCAAGAATTCAAAATGTTACAGAAAGTCATTCCCATTTCTTTTTCAATAAGCCAAAATTTAAACTACCAGTCATTGCTATTTTAATTATTAAATCTCAAAATTTGTGGGATATTAGTGAATAGATTGCAAATGAAATAAGATGAGAAAATAAATACAGAGCAATAAAATGGAATTAACTAAAATGCAGATAGTAAATGCTAATTGATATAAAACATATTGCCAAAATTTGTACAGTGGGTTCATCACTTGTAAGCACAATGATCTTGGGCAGTTTATTAAACTTCTCTGCCTCAACACTGTTATCTGTAAAACAGAAAATGTAATGTGATCAACCTCATACACAGTGTGATTTTATTAAGTAAATTAATATACATAAAGCTCTTAGAACAGTGTCTTGCATCCATTACATTCTCATATTAGTATTTTTCACTAAGATCATTTTTGTTTATTATGCTAATATTTTAAAAAACATTCTTGATTATATTAAAATGCTCTGGGAGTTTTAAGGTTGTTTTATCACATAAAAAATTTGTTCTCAGATGCCTAAATCTTCTGTAATGCTATTGTATCTCATATGTAGCAGACAGTATTTGATTAAGATGGGTTATAAAATGGATTTTATAGACTAATATGTATATATCTATTGCTCTGTGCCAAAAAAGTGTGTATCTAACACTTATGTGGTAGAATTAATTATCTAAATTAGCTTCTGCATAACATTTAGTACTCACCAAAAGGCAATTTATTGCTCTGTGATAAAGGATTCCACTGATTTTAAGAAATGAATTCAGTTTTAATATACTTTTCCTATTGGCTGGTTTTATTTTTCACAGGGAGAGGCACATATATTCTCATTTCCCCCACTGAAAATGTTGAGAAACTTCATTTATTATTGGCCATTTAGGCATTTGCTTTTATATAGTACCTGATTATATTTTTGTTCATGGGTTCTGTTGGCTTCTCTGTCTGTACATTTTTTTTTGAGTGTGCTGCCATTTAATTATGGAAAAAAATAAAAGAATACATATTTGTTATTAATCACATAGACCACTTAAGGAAAATCTGTGTGAAAAAGTAGGGACAAAAGTTATCTCTGGGGAATATTTTTTATGTATAGGAATCTGTCTCTCTATGTAGTATATCTCTGTCTGTTTTGCCATCTGTCTATATGTTTATCTATTCCATATTATCTATCTTTTTTCATGTGTATACATTGAAAATATCTTCCCCCACATAATAGCTTTTTTTTTCCCACTCATCTAATGGTTTGTTTTAAAGAAAAAACATCTCTTAATATCATGCAGTTTATATTTTTTCACTTTTAGGTAAGTACTGTTTATAGTATTTAAGAAACTGTTGTCTCCCTCAGTGTCATAAAGTGTGTCATTGTTATCTTCAAGAAATTGTAGACTTGCGTTTTATATTTAGATTTATAGTTCATCAATTGATTTTTGTGTATGGTGTGACTGTGAAAGAGACATTTATCTATGTACAAACACATACATATATAAAAACTATATCGTACTTCCATTTAAATATCAAATTGCAGTGGCACCATTAATTGGAAATATCATGCTATCTCCTTTGTACTTATATATCTCTTTTGTACTTATGTATCACTTCTGTCATAAACTGACTGTATTTAAAGGGTCTGTTTCTAGACAATACTATGTTCCATTTGGTAGCAGTGTCTAGCTTGTGTCAGTACCACATAATATTAACAACTATAGCTTTATAAATCTTGTATCCATATTATAATGCCTTCAGATTCATTCTTCTTTATTATTGTCATAAGTATTCCTGCCTTTAAATTTGCATATGACTTTTAATATTCATTTGTCATTTCCAGCCACAGAACACATGGAATAAATCTAATTGTAAATTTATTAAATGCACGTAAGGATACTGGAAGCAGCAACATATTAAAAATATTGAACCCTGCTGGGCTTGGTGGCTCATGCCTATAATCCAAGCACTTTGTGAGGCAAGGTGGAAAGATCACTGGAGGCCAGGAGTTTGAGACCAGCATGGGTAATATAATGAGATCCTGTCTATAGAAAAAAAAAAAATAGCTGGCCATAGTGGCACACACCTGTAGTCCTAATTACTCAGGAGTCCAAGGTGGGAGGATAACTTTAGCCCAGGAGGGTGAGGCTGCAGTGAGCCATGACTATGCCTCTACACTACAGCCTGAACAACTGAACAAGACCATCTCTCAAAAAAAGCTGAATCTTCCAAACAATGAACATCATATAGCCCCCTTTCAGTAGTACTGAAAAGAGAAATTGGTATAAATTATACCAATTGTAATTTTCAATTTTTTATTGCAGGTATACTAAATATATTTCTAACTGTAATTGTGTTATAATGAAAATTTATTTATCTCCAACAGTTCATCCATAAAATTTTTTGATTACTACACACACTATCAACCTTCCATGAATAATGCCAATTTATTTTCTTACATTCTAATCATTATAAATTTAATTATTTTCACCATTATATTGCTCTGACCAAGCTATGCATTAAAATGTAAAATGAAGACAATTACAGCCTTTCTTCATTCCCTATCTTTAGGGAAGTGCTCTTACTAATTCATGAAGAATAATGGTTTCTGAAGAATTTTTGTGTATAATCCTATTTATATTAATGAAGTACCTATTCCTATTGGTTTATAGTTTAATTTTCATTATTTTTCAGAACACAAATGGGTGATATTGAGTGTTTAATTCTGTCAAATCCCTAACATCTAATGTTTTAGAGCATAGTTGTTAGATTTAACCAGTTTAGTAATATTTGTCTTTGAATATTTTGTCTTTTTCCATTTGAAATGGGTTCTATATTATGCTTATATTTTTTATCTTTCTATTTGTTTTCTATTTGATACATCTGCTATATATGTATTTTGTCTCTTTTTGTTTCCTCTTTTGATTTAATCAAATGTTTATTTCCTTCCTCTATTAGTATATTGATTAAACATTCATATACTTCTTTTTGTCCAGAAGAGATTGTATCATATATTCCTGAATAATTAGAACCTAATTGATATTTCTTTACTCTTTGATTTTTCTATAACCTTAGAATTCTTAATGCTTTCCTCTTGTGTCATTCTGCATTTTAATCATATGTAAATATTAAAAACCAAGGCATTTATTATCTTATTATAATTATTACTATTCTTTTGAATTGATATTAATTTTATCCACATATTTAACCTTTTGGATATTTGATGGGTTTGTCTAAAATATTTTTTCTTTTTTCCAAAGAATCATTTTAGTATTTCTTTTAGTATTGGTGTGTTAGCAATGAATTCTTTGTTTTTGTTGTCAATATTTTCTCCAAACCCTTTAAATATCTTGTTCCATTAATTTTGAGCTTCCATATTTTCTATTAAAAGTTAGTTTGTTGTGGCCAGGCACAGTGGCTCACACCTGTAATCCCAGTACTTTGGAAGGTCAAGGGAGGTAGATCAACTAAGGTCAGGAGATTGAGACCAGCCTGACTAACATGGTGAAACCCCGTCTCTACTAAAAATACAAAGTTAGCTGGGCATGGTGGCAGGTGCTTGTAATCCCAGACAGTTGGGAGACTCAGGCAGAAGAATCACTTCAACTTGGGAGGTGAAGGTTGCAGTGAGCTGAGTGCACACTAGTGCACTCCAGCTTGGGCAACAAGAGAAAAACTCTGTCCCAAAACAAGCCAAAACAAAACAAAAATTAGCTTGTCATTATTATTGTTGCTTTGAAGGAAATGAAATTTTTTTTTGGTCTGGCTGCTGCTTTTGTTTTGAGTTATTGGTTGTGTTTATCCTGATATATCTCAGTGTGGTTTACTTTGTGCATATTCCAACTAAGGTTTACAGAAGTTCTAAAATCTATACTTTAATAACTTTCTTCAGCTTTGGAGAATTCTTGGTGACTTTCTATATTTCTTCTGTCATATTATTTTCCTCTTTTCTCTTTTAGAATTTAATTAACATATATTAGATTTTTTATTGTGTCTTATATAGCTTTTACATCCTGTTCTAAGTAATCTATGGAATTTTTTTCTCCATGAATTCTGGATTTTTTAGACTTTCTTGTGTTCCAGTTTTTAGTCAATTAGTCAACTCTTTAATCTTCTACTAAAAACAACTATTCATTGAATTTAAGAAGGTTATCTACTTAGATTCTGAGAATCTCACCTTGTATTTCAAATAATGGCAAAGGAAAAAAAAAGAAAACCAACTGTGAGCCATATTAATTATGCTTTGTAATATTTTTGTATTTTTCATGTTTTCACATATTAGGGACTTGCTGATCCTGGGAGAACTGCTTCCCCCAATATTTGTTGATTCCCAAAGATACAAAGAACTCACATGCAATCATGCTTTTCACAGGCAAACAAACTAACCCAGAACCCATATCCCCAACCACATTTTAAAATCATATTCTTATAGTCCGGGCCATGATTTTCTTGCCCTAATTACTCCGGAGTCAGACACCAGACAACTAGGAAGCGCTCCTACAAAATGGAGCCTGCCAAAATGACTCCAACTAGCTAATTCTAAGCCTGCTCACACAACCTTGCCCATTTCTTTCTGCAAAAGAACACAATAAATGCTCTTGCCCACATTTCACCACAGTCTATCTTCCTCCTAA